TCATTGAGAGTTCTACATAACATATCTTCCAGCAAGTTTACTGTTTCTGTCTTGATATTTAGCTCTTTAATCCACTTCGATCTTAGTTTAGTGCACAGTGATAGGTATGGGTCTAGTTTTAATCTTTGGCAGGTTGAAATTCAGTTTTTCCAACACAATTTATTGAACAGGCTATCTTTTCTCCAATGAGGGCAATTGGCTCCTTTGTCAAAGATGAGGTGACCGAGTATGTCTGCAGTTGTTTCTGCATCTTCTAATCTATTCCATTGCTCCTTGGGTCTGTTTCTTTGTCAGTTCCATGTTGCTTTTATCACAGTAGCTTTGTAGTATAGTTTCAAGTTGGAGATTGTGATTCTCCCAGCCATATCTCTGTTGCCCAGAATTGCTTTTGCTATTCTAGGTTTCTTCTGCTTCCCAATGAATTTTTGGATTGTTTTCTCTAGTTCTGTGAAGTATATTTTTGGAATTTCAATCAGTATTTCATTAAATCTACATAGTAGTTTTGGAAGTATGGCCATTTTCACTACATTGATTTTTCCTAACCAGGAACAAGGGATATCTTTCCCTTTCTTATATCCTCTTCGATCTCCAACTTCAGAATTCTGTAGTTTTCAGTGTAGAGGTCTTTTGCTTCCTTTGTTAGGTTGATTCCTAGATATTTCATTTTTTTACATGCTATTGTAAAAGGAATTATTTCCTGAATTTCTTTCTCAATGGGTCTGCTATTTTCATATAAGAAGGCTATTGTCTTTTGAGTGTTGACCTTATATCTAGCTACTCTAATGAATCTGTCAATTAAGTCTAGATGGTTTTTGACCGAGTTTTTTGGGTCTTCTATGCAAAGTATCATATCATCAGCAAATAATGACAGTTTCACTTCATCCTTTCCTATCTTTATTCTTTTTATTTCTTTTTCTTGTCTAATTGCTATGGCTAATGTTTCCAGTACAGTATTGAACAGAAGTGGTGATAGTGGGCATCCTTGTCTTGTTCCTGATTTTAGCATGAAAGTTTTCAGTTTTTGACCATTTAATGGGATGTTGGCTGTTTGTTTTACATAGATAGCCTTAATCAGGTTGAGATAAAGACCTTCTATTCTAATTTTCTGTAGGGTTTTTATCATGAATCGGTGCTGAATTTTGTCAAATGCCTTTTCTGCATCTATTGAGATGATCATATGGTTTTTGTCCTTGACTGTTAATATGGTGTGTTACATTTATTGATTTACGGATGTTGAATCATCCTTGCATCCCGAGGATAAATCTGACTTGGTCAGGGTGTACGATTTTCTTGATGATCCTCTGTATTCTGTTTGCCAGTATCTTGTTGAGGATTTTTGCATCTATGTTCATTAGTGAGATTGGTCTGTAGCTCTCTTTTGGGGTTGGGTCTTTGCCTGGTTTTGGAATCAATGTAACACTTGCTTCCAGGAATGAATTTGGAAGTCTTGCTTCCCTTTCAATTTCCTTGCTGAGTTTAAAGAGTAATGGTGATAGTTCTTCTTTAAATGTCTTGTAGAATTCAGCAGTGAAACCATCAGGACCTGGGCTTTTCTTTGTTGGTATATTTTTTATTACATTTTCAATTTCACTCATTGTAATTGGGGTGTTTATAATTTCTGTCTTCTTCATTTAA